CACGCACACACACACACACACACACACACACACACACACACACACGGTCAATACACTCCACATGAACGCATGTGCTCTGATGATGACACTCCAACTCAGCCAAATGCTGACCCACTGACACGAATGTAATGAACTATTTCCCTGAAGACATGCAAACACTCGCATAATCGCCTGCTGACCTACAAATGTTCGCTCAGACACCAACAAAACTTTAATTCCAAAGAGACGCAATACCCTGGAAACACAAACCGAAACTGTCTCTATTTTCCGCTTGTTACAACTTGTAATAAAGTTGTTACATCTTGGCTTAACGTGTTTATGACGTATTAGAACGTTGTTACAACTTGCTATATTGGTTGTTATAACTGGTTAGGAAGTGTTAAAACTTGTTCGAACGTTGTATCAACGTTGTAGTTTCGGTGTGTGTTTGGTGGGTATAGATTCAACCAACTTTAAATGCACACGCAAGAGAGAGATTGTCATGAAACTGTACTCGTCTGTTGCAGACAAGAATTACTGCATAGCTTGCCGCGCCAAGATAGTCAAGCACGCTCTCATACAATCAGGCACGTGCTTCCGTGAGACAAGCGCCCCAGTGCCAGAGAAGCGCCCCCAGTGCCAGACAAGTGCCCCAGTAGCACGGGCTATGGTGAGCCCGTAACTTATCTGGCACAAGAGCAGGGCAAGTAGCACGGGCTATGGTGAGCCCGTAGTGGACTTGCCTTGGCATAGGAGCGGTGCAAGTAGTACGGGCTATGGTGAGCCCGTAGTGGACTTGCCTTGGTACAGGAGCGGGGCAAGTAGCACGGGCTATGGTGAGCCCGTAGTGGACTTGCCTTGGTACAGGAGCGGGGCAAGTAGCACGGGCTATGGTGAGCCCGTAGTGGACTTGCCTGGCACAGGAGCGGGGCTGTGACTTGGACGGACCATGAGTTGTAGCGAAAGATTATACTCATCCCTGACTACGACGAGTGAGCTCAAGCTCATTATCAGGGGACTTTGTGGCTGAGTGGACAGCGCTCTGGGGTCGTAGTCCTGAGGGCCCGGGTTAAATCCCCGGCATGAGCAGAAACAAACAGGCAGAGTTTCTTTCACCCCTGTTTGTCCTATTCACCTAGCATTAAATAAGTACATGGGAGTTAGACAGCTGATAAGTTAGTTGTTTCCAAGGGATGTACACACAGGAAGCAGCCCGTAGCAGCTGTCTATCTCCCAGGTACCTATTTACCACCCGGGACCACAGAATCACGCGTCCAGTATTCTGTCCGCTCAGCCACCGACTCCTGAATAAGTACAAATAGCTCGATTCTGCAGGCACAAATAGTAAATACACACACACACTTCATTTTCGTAACTACTTCATAAAGGGCGGATGAGCCGGTCAACCGCTGGCATAACAGATAGGAATAACGGTAATTGTCATGGCTAATGACAGACGCGAGGAGCAACAGGTAGGTAATCCTTCACTACACGCCACCACTAATTTACTCCCAGAGTGGCCAGCCTCCCACACCTGGCTAGTAATCTACCTGCATTATTTGAGTTAATAAGTTCCCCTTTATTTTGTTTTCTATGAGAGATATGTGCGACTATATTTTTTTTAGTATTGTGTAATTTTATATAAATAAGGCTTTTATTAATCTGTTAATTCGAGAAACTCAAGCGTGTTAAATTACGGGAATTATTATTTATTAAATTATTAACTAAGCTTAAAAAAATTTACTCGAATTTTGTCATATTTGAGGAAAATTCAGCTAACAATGTTTCCAATTAGGCAGAGAATACTGAGAGGTAAACTAACACCTCACCAAGCAGGCACCCGCTCCTCAGGGCTGACAGCCAGTACTATCAGCAGCTGTTAATTAATAACAAGTAACTTAAGTTTGTAAACCTTTCTGATTTACTTGCAACTGCCCAAAAGTAAATTTGTAACAGGTCACACCTACAACTCTTTGATTGTTTAAGGTACCCCCCCCCCACCCCCACCCAAGCAGTTAGTGGAAAACTTTTTTTTCAAGTTGACCAGACCACACACTAGAAGGTGAAGGGACAACGACGTTTCAGTCCGTCCTGGACCATTTTCAAGTCGATTGAGAATGGTCCTCAGGGCTGAGGAATTTTATTTTCAAGGTTCAATAAATGAAATAATATAATGCAAGGAGTAAGAGAATATAGAAACGCTCGACTGGACGAAAAATTTATAAAGTTATCCCTTGATTATATCCTCCCACGTTTTCTACCTTGCATCAATATAGCTTATACTGATGCATTATAGCCTATACTGGCTATACTATAGTCAGTATCAAGGCTGCCGTCCCTCTAACTCAAGGTATGAGCGTCGGGGCACAGTTCTGACGCAATATGCGCAACAATTTTGGTGCAGAGATTTTAAGTAAATTGAGTTAGATGATGGACAGCAGCGCGTGGATAGTATTTAGGGATCGCTGAGCCCAGTCAAGGTTTTATATATATATATATATATATATATATATATATATATATATATATATATATATATATATATATATATATATATATATATATATATATATATATATATATTTGGTTGAGGTGACAATACACAAATAAATGGGAAAAGACAGAACACGAAACAATGGGTATATTGCGTGTATCTTCTTGCTTCTGTGCTGGTTCAGGGTCTTGAAGTGGGTAGAATGTAATTATGTGTTAATTGGCTGTTGATTGCTGGTTTTGGCTTTTTGATGTGTAGTGCCTCGCTGATGTCGAGTCTCCTGTTATCGTTGTATCTGTCGATAATTTATGTGTTGCTTGTTAAGATTTCTCACTCTCTCTCTCTCTCTCTCTCTCTCTCTCTCTATATATATATATATATATATATATATATATATATATATATATATATATATATATATATATATATATATATATATATATATATATATATATATATATATATATATATATATATATATATATATATATATATATATATATATATATGTATATATGTATATATATATATATATATATATATATATATATACATATAAAAAAAAAAAAAAAAAAAAAAAAAAAAAAAAAAAAAAATATATATATATATATATATATATAAGAAAGTACAGTTGGGTTTGAGAGAGTACATAACATTGATGTTTTTACATGCTTGCAAAGCCACTAACGCGCATAGCGTTTCAAGCAGGTCCTTGATTTAACATATATTATAAGTATGTAATTTGTAACAAAATTTGAAGAATATTAATAGGTACATTGTGGTCAAATTTGAAAATTATTAATAGGTACATTGTAGCATAATTTGAAGATTATTGATAGGTACATTGTAGCATAATTTGTGTTCAACATAACTATGATATAAGTTGATAGTAGTGATTACAATGGTGAAGTTTAATGTCTTAGGGACATATATTTGGGGGAGTGATTAGCACAAGATACAGTGCTAGTCTGAAGCACTAGGTAGGAAACTATGAGGGGGAAACTTTTGGAAATAAGGCATAGGTTGGATAACTTATAAATTCATTAGGGAGTGAGTTCTATAAACTAGGTCCCTTTATTTCCATAGAGTATTTGCACAGTGCTGAATCTTTGAATCAAACAAAAGTTCTATTACATTCTACTGTCAATAAGAAATTTACGAAAGAATTTCATACACATTCCCAAAAATCGTATTAAAAATAAGCATTAACGGAGCAAATAGAATCCCAATACTCGATGGTCGAGTAACGATAATCACCCTTGGGTGTAGGAGCCATTATGGATGATCAGCAATTTTCAGAACATTCGTAAATTTCTGTTCGTGACGTCTTGCACAGACGCGTAGCATTAACGTTATGTCTTGCTTCTACATGATTTATTCCACCATGAGCAGCTTGAGGCCCGTAGTGCGGGCCGAACTCACCTTAACTAAGCCTCTCATCTCCCAGCCTGTTTTTTGGCCGAGTCTCCCCTCCATGTTTATTTTTATCCCCCACCGTTTTTTATGTCGCGTGGGCAAGTGTGTACCAGCCAGCTATTTTTAGGTTACACGTAAATCTGATTTAAGTTAGGTAGGTGATGTTAACGCGACAAGCTCGGCCCATAAACACGATAGCGTTATATTTTGTTCACCATCCGACTTGCTGAAATTGTGTAAATATTTAATTTCAAGTATTTACGTTAATTTTCCGGAAAGTTGGCGCTTTTCCGGAGCGCAGCCGGACCCATCTGGCTCGCCTAGCCACAATAACATTGGCTCTCGTTTTATCTTTATTTCTGGCCTTTGCATCTCTAACATTGTTAATAAGAATTTCACAAACTAGTAAAAAATAAACATTTACGGATTCTAGACAAAACAGACTATAATTTATAATAATAATAATAATTTATTATATCTGGGGACAGGCAGCCTGAGTGTATTCATACACGTTAGGCTTTTATCGTTGCCCCCACACCCACCCCCCGCTCCCCCTATTCCTTTCCCCAAGGCCTAATTACTGACCCCGCCCAGGATACAACCCCACAACAAGCTGACTAACTCCTGGGTACCTACATACTGCTAGGTGAACAGCTGCATTAAGTGAAAGAAAATGTGCCCAACCATTTCTGTCACACTCGGTATCCGAACCTGGAATGTTCAATGACTGTATTTTGAGGGATATATTATATATATATATATATATATATATATATATATATATATATATATATATATATATATATATATATATATATATAAACAAGCTTTTGTAGTGGTCTTAATAACCCTTTCCCGGTTGATAGGGTTAAGTCCAACAAATAATATTAAATTTTTAAGCATTTCTTCGTGAGTTTTTTTTTAATGAACGAACTATACAATATATACATCTACATTTTTTGTATACATAAACTGGCCCAACTCTTGTCGTGTTGTTTTGTGGGATTTCAACCACTTTTCAACTTTGTTCATGTTCAAGCAATTTGAAGATCCTTTTCAACCAAGATCAATATATTTAAAGGATCAAGACAGAGGTTGAGATTGGGCCACTATGCAGCCCAGGGGTCGAAGTTCGGTCAATATGCAGAGCAAGAGTCAAGGTTGGGACAGTGTACAGAGCAAGAGTCAAGGTTGGGGCAGTGTACAGAGCAAGAGTCAAGGTTGGGGCAGTGTACAGAGCAAGAGTCAAGGTTGGGGCAGTGTACAGAGCAAGAGTCAAGGTTGGGGCAGTGTACAGAGCAAGAGTCAAGGTTGGGGCAGTGTACAGAGCAAGAGTCAAGGTTGGGGCAGTGTACAGAGCAAGAGTCAAGGTTGGGGCAGTGTACAGAGCAAGAGTCAAGGTTGGGGCAGTGTACAGAGCAAGAGTCAAGGTTGGGGCAGTGTACAGAGCAAGAGTCAAGGTTGGGGCAGTGTACAGAGCAAGAGTCAAGGTTGGGGCAGTGTACAGAGCAAGAGTCAAGGTTGGGGCAGTGTACAGAGCAAGAGTCAAGGTTGGGGCAGTGTACAGAGCAAGAGTCAAGGTTGGGGCAGTGTACAGAGCAAGGGTCAAGGTTGGGGCAGTGTACAGAGCAAGGGTCAAGATTGGGGCAGTGTGTGCATAAAGGGTCGAGGATGGGCCAATATGAAGAACAGAGGTCAAGATTGGAACGGTATGAACAAAGGTCAAGGCTGGGACAATCTGAACAACAAAGGTCAAGGCTGGGACAATCTGAACAACAAAGGTCAAGGCTGGGACAATCTGAACAACAAAGGTCAAGGTTAGGTCAATGAACATAACCCAAAACCGAACACTGGACGAACCGTTCACACAATTCTTCCTCTGGTCAAGCAATATATTTCAAGATTACAACACATTAAAAGTTCTGATTAAAATGTTAATTACTGGGACGCGTCTGTATCCAGTGCCTATTTTTAGATGCCATAAATAAGAAAAATCGTAATGGCATATATACGTCTAAGACTTACATTCATTTCTTGTGGTAATATATGTTTATTTACATATTAAGGCAGTGATACTGCCTCTGAACATGAGGCTAGTTCGTCTTCATTAAAATTGTCATTCATCGAAATATATTCTTTAAGAATTTATATTGATTAGAATATTTAATTTATTTAAATGATTTTGATTCTCTTTAAGACATTGTTGGTATGATTGTTATATTAATAATAATATATACATACTAGTATTAGGAGCATCATACTGGATTTACTGATTTCATAGGGTGGGGAGACACTTATCTTTGGTGTGGTCATGGGTGGGGAAAACTGTTGAAAAAGAGATGAGTTCCGTTCCTTATCTTGTAAATATATTTGAATGGATGGTGGCGGCTCGACCCATCTTTTATCTTACCAAGTCTACCATTTCATCCCATTTTCTATCTCTCAACTTTTCCTTTTACTAACTCTCTTTTATTTTCTTTCTCCTTCCTCTCTACCTCACCCTTCCTCCCTCTATGCTGTTCTTCCTCTCTCCTCTTCCTCACCAGTTCCATCCTTCTATGTTGCTTATTGCTTCACTCTTTCCAATTATCCTTAATTATTTTATTCCCATATTCACTCCTGGTTAGAGTATCACCCTCGTGCGCATGCGCGTGATCTCAGAATGTAAACACTATACACATATGACACATGAGCCTAGTGCGTGTATGTGAGACCACCGAGTGTAAACAGTGAAAACAATCGGGAACACTAGTTTACACCTCTCCTTAAACTAATGAGGCTGGCAGTGTTTGGGGCAGGTGAAGTGTTTGTGTGATAGACGACCTTTAATGAGGGCGAGGTTAGTAAACCTGATAAGGTGATCTGGTGGGGTGGTCTTCTGATAGGCTTCGGCACAGTGCAGATCAACTCCGTTCGTCACGCTGCAACTCGTCCTCGACTCAAGTCTATTCCATCCAGCGGTTGACCCCACAGACGCATTCATAAATATTAATGACAGTAAATGACATAAATGACAGTAAGGTGTGGGTCCCTTGTACCATTAAGTGCTCCTGAGTTACTCTTGTGTTCCTGCTACGTCACCCAGCCAGGGACATTACGGTAACAGGAGCAACGGAAAGGGGAAAACTACGTTACACTTTATAGTAAATAGTTTGTAATTCATAGTAAGTAGCCGCATATGTCTCTAACGTCGTGACAGTACTGGGTTCTGGGAAGAAGGGCAAGGGTAGCCTAGCAGGTCTTCGCCAGTGGTGGGTATTTCCTTTAGTCTTGCGGGGAATATTGTCTCGCGAACACCTGCCTCTGTCTGTCTGTCCAGTTCCTTCCCTGCTATGACATGTGTTCGCTCTCTGCTCTCATGTGGGGTAATGTGTCGGGCACATGTCGGAGGTGTGACACGGGTGTTGTTGGTGCCCAACCTCCGTGTCTGAGCTTGGTGGGATTGTTCAGTAAACCCTTTCTGTTGTCTGAGAGGGACGTTTGCCTGATCATTGAGCCTCTTCTACTGACTGCAGGAGTCGTGAGCTTATTAGCAAACTCTCTCTCTTTCTCTCTCTCTCTCTCTAACACACCTCATACTCTAATGAGACTGGTACCTTAATAGACTAGGAGACAACAACCAACAGACCAGCACACCAGGTTTCCATATGATTTATGCAACAACGACTTTGTTAACTCCGCACTGCAGAGATCACAAGGAAGATTTATTGTAGTATTTCGCTTAACCTTGGTTCAGATTCTTGGCCTCCACTTTATCTGATAATTAGAGAAACCTGGGAGCTGTTTTTTTGACGCTGTTAATTATCCACATTATAGGATAATTGCATGAATTATCCGGTGTGTGCCGTGTTGAGCCTCTCGCCAGAGCGGCTGTGGCCGGATGAGATGAGGATGATGCGAATGGTGATGAGCACAACGATGAGTGTCATTGATGTAGGGGTTTGGTGCTTCCTTCATGGAATATATAATGTTACTTCTGATTTCTATCCCCTTCCTTTTTGCCTCCGAGGATGTTGATAGCTTCAACGAAACCCGTCATTCAATTACTCGCGTAAGGCCCAAAATTATTATAAAATTAACTTTGGAGAGTTAATTTTTCCAGTTTCTTTCCGAATTATATATATATATATATATATATATATATATATATATATATATATATATATATATATATATATATATATATATATATATATATATATATATATATATATATATACCATCTCCTATGGATCTAGATAAATACCAACTTAGCCAGATCTTCAAGAGCATTCATTGGGTTGTTTACAGATGACGTTCGTGGCTGAAATCCAGGATTAAGACGCTGCAATATACTCATCTGCAAAACTGGGCGCGTTTGTTGAACAGGGGCCAGATTTACGAAACAGTTACGCAAGTACTTACGAAGCTGTACATCTTTTCTCAATCTTTAGCGGCTTTGATTACAATTATTAAACAGTTAATGAGCTCCGAAGCACCAGGAGGCTGTTTATAACAATAACAACAGTTGATTGAGAAGTTTTCGTGCTTGCAAAGTGTTTAATAAATGTAACCAAAGCCGTCAAAGATTGAGGAAAGATATACACGTTCGTAAGTACTTGCGTAAAAGCTTCGTGAATCTGGCCCCAGCTTGCCTGGAGGCCCCAGTCATGGCTGCCAGCAGTCTCCGCCACTCGATTGGATACGAATCCAAAATGGTTTTGACATTTACTAAAAAAAATTACAAATTTTCTTCTGCTTCTGTAGACTAACAACATTTAAATCCTAAATAACAATATTATACAAATGATAATGTTATGACGTTATAATGTTGATGATGACAAGGAATAAAACGCTCTCAGTAATCCAGAATAGAAAAACAAAAACATTTGATATCCGGTTAGGCGTCAGAAGTAACTTAGGTAAATTTACAGAGTAATATCGACAGCTGTTTCTCCAGTGACACAGCATATTCCCAGCGACAAATTGCATTTCCACACAAATGCAAAATAACTAAGAACGGAACATGAGTGGGAAGACCTACTCAATAGCACATTATGAAGAGAAGACACATTCCTTCATGAGACAAGATGAAACACTAGGAGTACTATAAACAACCTATGTGAGACTCATGCGTGAGCATGCAGCCCCGGTATGGAATATCCGCATGTAAAAGAACAAGATATAGAACTAAGTTTAAACATATGCAACATTTCTCATTCCTGGGCTATAAGGAAATGTTAAGGGAACTACACCTACACATACAGGAGATAAGGAATAGAGTCGAGATATGATAACGACATTAAAGGTAGCAAGAGAAATCCACAAAGCAGTCGAAAAAGCAATGTTCAAAGAATGAAAGCAGTGCTTGAAGTTAACTTACTATACAGTTTTATATATATATCAGTAATGAAACAAACAATAAAATATTGTGAAGGCGGGGCTTAGGAGCTGACGTTGGACTGAAGACTAGGTGACCCAACTAGGTGCACTAACGAGTAACAACAAACTACCTCCAGTCATTATCAGAGGCGTCTCCTATAACCAATCACCAGAGGCCCAAAAGATTTTATCCAGCTTTTTATTTCCTGTACAGTTTTACCTTTTAGTCTAAGCGTATTTAACTGAATAATAATAATAATAATAATAATAACGAAGGGCCTTACCTACACTAAGCATGACAACTTTACAGTAATGGGAAGATGATAGTGGTGCTAACGTCCCTCTCAGGCAGCTTAGTAGATACTGTCTTAAATAACGCAGGAAGGTTATCTAAGAATCTAATATTTCAACAAAAAAAAACTATCTGACCTTTTAAACAATTCTTGTCTAAAGCTTCTCGGGCATTTCAGCAGACATGGATGAGCCAAGTTTCATTTAATTGTATACAAAAGGCATTGAAAATAACAAATTATGCTCTAATATGTTCAAACCATTCTGTCGGAAATGAGCCAAAATGTATTCATCACCTGGAAATGTTTCAGTAATGGCTTAATTGTCATCAAAATCGGGTGAACAATCCGTGGGTGGTATAGCGATTATACACCCTCGGTGGGTGAGTCGTAAGACCTATGGATAGACCTCCTCCAGCTCCTGCATCCAACACCCTCTCTCCCAAGTCTCCTGGACACTAGAGAGCCTTGGTGTAGGACGCTGGAGATGCTGTGTGTCGTTACGCCCACACCTTGGAAATCTGATCTGAGATGTAAGTCGCTCATTGACACCCTCAGCTCTCAGGCGCTGCAGAAGAGTGTCTTCAACCGCCTTGGCTTAGACACTGGGAGAGGTAGTGAGGACTATCTTCCTGCCTGGAGTAAGAAGCGTCCCTCAACTCAACAATGACAGTGAAACCATCGGGGTGAGTAACGGAGGGAGATAGTAACGGGGAGTAACAAAGATTAGTGGGTAACGAAGAGTGTTACGGTATCGACACCATCGTCGGAGTGTGACGTGGGAATTCCAGCGCCATCTATGAATCTGCACTCCAACTCCCCCTAGTATTGGGCGGTATGTAGACAACGCCATCTGTTGGTGGTGGCTTGGTATGAGCGAATGGCTCCGGTTTCCTGCCCCAGTTAGAAGAGGAGGTCGATGTGGATGAGCTTGGGTGGCGTATCAAGATCAGCGCCATATATGTTGTAGCAGCAAGCATAATATCAAGTCCCCGGTGAACGAGTGTTACCTTATGGTTTCCCCAGTGTACTGTCCATCTAATTAATGACGTGGTTATGTTCACAGAGGTGACATATGGAGGCAATTATGGTTAGGAAGGCAGTTTACCTTGGGCAGTCCACGAACCCTTAACTTGGTTCTGCAAGAAGATTAAGTAGCCGCCGCCGATCT